TTTTATATCATGTGTATACTTTACATTAAAAAGTATCCCATTGCTTTTGTTGGAAAAGATTCATGCCTAAATAAGTTGTATAAACTGAATACATTTTTTTTCTACTTCAAATGAGTTTTTATAATTCAGTTTTAATTTATCTTTCTCCTTTCAAGGGTACTTTAAATGATGCAGATGATCCAAGCACAAGTATTGGAGCATATCACTATATGCTAGAATCAAACATGGGGAAAACAATGCTAGAATTTCAGGTATTTGTGGTGGCCTTTATGTGATTCATTTGCCCAGAATTGTCAAGATACACAGGATGATTTTTATATGTACTGGTTTGTTTCATTGTTGTTTTGGTTGTTTTGGTTGTTTTGGTTGTTTTGATGTTCTATCTCTAACCATATCTGTCCAATGAACAAACTTCCTTTAAAAGTTTAGTTCTTACAGCTTTGCTCTTGGTTTCTATTTTTCTTGGGTTCCTGTGGCTAAGAATAGAATATCCAGATCCAGAGAAGACTGTGTTTTACTGGAATAAATGACAAAACTTTTGCATAGTGGAGCATTGAAAATATTTGCTTTTGTGTTAGGCCCGTGACAGTCCAACTGCAACACTCATGGTTCTACCACAATAGCTTCATAACTGTTATTTTTTCAACAACCACTGCACTGAAATAAGAGAAAAAACTTATTTATTAATTTAATTTATCATAGTAAAATGTAATAAAATAGTGTAGCATCCCCAAATCCATTTTTATCAATGGATGCACATCCAATAAATGTGTATGATACTACAACATTAACAGAAAAAGGATCTAATGTCTGCAATGAACTTTTAAATGGAGAAGTCGGTAGAGTTAAACCACCTATTATAAAAACAGAGAAATAAACTTGTGCTGCTCTAGACCAAAACGTATAGTAGTATTTCTATGGTGATTTGCAGAAGTGCAATTTTGCATCTAATCCATTGCTTGCAAACCAAATGTTGCAAAAATTTTCACTTAAAAAATGCTGTCAAATAGCTAGTTGTTAATAAAACTCTACATTTTCTAAACATGGCTTGAAAACAGATTCTCCATGTTATCTCCCCTCCACACCCCATTCCCCCTAGGAGCTTATGATTGTGTTTCAACTTCTGCACTGGAATGGAAGCCTTAAGGCCCTGCGTGAAACTAAATGTTCTCGGCAAGTAAGTAGCCTTCCAAAATGCAATACTGATTGTCAGTTATTCCCAGCATTCATTTTAGAAAAGTCTACTTGAAGTTCTTCTGCACTTCCTCTTTT